TTGAATAAAGTTTTCGTTATGATTTTAATTATTATTAGTATAATTACATAGGTGATTATTCAAAATTCTCCACGCTGATTGGCTGCTGTTGAGGTACGTGATTATTACGCGATAATCACCTAAGCGATTCTCAAAATGGCGGCCGAAGCCGTTTTGTCAATTAAATGACAAAGAAATGTGCGGCCGAAGCCGTTTTGTCAATTAAATGACAAAGAAATGTGTATTTTTTAATTTTTTTCTAAATATTCACCTATGAAATTATACTAAAACAATTATTCACCTCAGGCTCGGTGATTATCGTGAATAAAAACCTCGACTTCGTCTCGGTTTTTACGTGACACGGTTTTGACCAATCGGCAAACAGAAAAATTGAACTTTGACACTAACTATATAACAATTGTTATTAATAATTATTAATCCAACATCCTGTGGGCCGCCAAGAAACCCGCGTGCAATTACACAGTACAGATCTTCATCACGGGCTTAAAACTGTAGGGAGCCTCTTTAAGAATGCGTTTTTGACTCGTGTTCGTCAGTTTTTGACTCGTGTTCACTCGTGTTCGTCATTTTTGACTCGTGTTCACTCGTGTTCGTCATTTTTGACTCGTGTTCACTCGTGTTCGTCATTTTTGACTCGTGTTCGTCATTTTTGACTCGTGTTCACTCGTGTTCGTCAGTTTTTGACTCGTGTTCACTCGTGTTCACAATTTTTTGACTCGTGTTCACTCGTGTTGTCTCGTGTTCACTCGTGTTCTGACTCGTGTTCACTCGTGTTGTCTCGTGTTCACTCGTGTTCACTCGTGTTCTGACTCGTGTGGTCTTTTAGAATAGATCATTTCATGCACGTTGTTTCCTTTTTTTTGAAAACGCCTTTTGTCATGGGATTATGGAATATTTGCATGATACAAAGCTACTAATGACATTCACGTTATTGATCATGACATCATTGCTGGATGAAAACCCGCTCATTAGCATTATAATAACCGGTGGGTTATATAAAACCAAATAGAAACCCAGCAACTCTCTATCCCCAAACCTCAGCCAGAAATTCGACAAATCCTCATCTTTATTCTCAAACAGCCAGAAATCCAACAATTCCCTATCCTCCAACAGTGAGAAACCCAACAACTGCTTATCTCCAAACCTCAGCCAGAAATTCAACAAATCTTCATTCTCAAACAGCCAGAAAACCAACGATTCCCTATCCCCAAACCTCAGCCACAAACCCAACAACTCCTTATCACCAAACCTCAGCCAGAAATTCAACAAATCCTCATTCTCAAACAGCCAGAAATCCAACGATTCCCTATCCTCCAACAGTGAGAAACCCAACAACCCCTTATCTCCAAACCTCAGCCAGAAATTCAACAAATCGTCATTCTCAAACAGCCAGAAACAGGTACAAAATGCTAAGTACACTTTAGGAAGGGTAAAGAGAATTGACAACGGACATATTTACAGAAACAACCAGGCAGATGAAGTACAGACGTTATTATCTGACATTCACAAACATCCGTTTATACAAGAAATAATACAGACAAAAGGTAAGCCACCATGTGTTGTACTTTATCTGGAAGATAATTTAAAAGACATACGCCAATTTTGTACATCCAGTGCTCTCGCAATCCCAGTGTTCTTGGAATAGATCGAACATTTAATCTTGGTGCGTGTTTTGCGACTACTCTGGTATACCAGCACAATAATTTAATAAGAAAAGGGGCAAGTAATCCCCCAATTATGCTTGCTGCAATTTATTTACACTGGGATGGACTTTACACAACATACCACAGATTTTTTTTGCATCTTCAAAGTAAGTTAAATGTTGACATCGGTGGAACACAGCTCTCTAAAATTGTTATTGGATCTGACGAAGACTCGAAGAGGCCGCACTTACAAAAGCAATAAAACAATGTTTTCCATCGTCTGCGAATATACTTTGTTCGCGCCATTTGGAGGAGAATGTTCGCCGATATTTGACAAACAATATTGGGGTAAGTGACAAAGTTAGAAAACAAGTTGTAAGCGATATTTTCGGGAAGCATGGATTAACGTCTTTTAACGAGGTCAAAAAGTTCGAACTGAAATTAATGAAACTTTCCGACAAATACTTGAAATATTTACCTTCGTTCGAAGAATACTTCAGAAAAACTACAGAAAAAATTCGATCTGGCGTTCTTCAACCGCGCATAGAGAATAAGTGGCTTCCTATTAACTGGAAGAACAATTCATGTCAGTCAATGAACCACATCATTAAGCTATCGGCAAATTGGAAGACAATGAAATTGCCAGATTTGATCGAAAGACTTTACAAGATTGTCAAGCTACAGCAAGCTGAATGTAGGAGAGCTTTATACGGTCAAGGAAACTATGAGTTAGCCCCGTGGATGTCGAAATGCAAAATACAATATGTACACTGGACACAAAAAACGAAAGAAGAAAAAGAAGCATTGTTCGCAAAATTCATGAAGGGTATGCCAGCAAAGAAAAAAACTGTTTCCTCTACAGATGGTCGCCTAACAATTCCAAAAACTTGTAAAACTGCGAAGAAACCAGGCCAAAGGAAAAGAGTAAAAAGTTTGAAAACAATAACCAGAAACAGAAATATTAAGTGATGTATTATATATAGTGTAATTTCATACTGCGTTATGACAAGGTTTTATGTGGCCAGTTTTATTTGCTCGTCTGTATACGCAACTTTGACAATTTTTACTGTGACAAGTATAGCTAGCATGCTAATTTTTGAGCAAGTGTACTTGTCACAAAAAAAGTTGTCAAAGTACAAATTTTGTTCGTCTGTATGGGTCAACAAAGAAAACTTGTCAAAGTAATCTGAGCACTTGATGCCGTTGGGTCAGCGATTTATTGTTGTAATGGTCAACAATAGCTATCGTGGCGGTCAGTAAACCAAAAACTTGTCAATTTGTAAATTCTCAACTCTGGTTGGCTATGAACCGTACAGTTATTTAAACATGTTTGCGTGTTTTGCTAATTAATGAAACAACTTTTAGATACGCTCGATTTTGCTAATTGTCTCTTCGAAATAAATGCAAATTACATTATTTGATATGTCGGGCATATTATGCATATAACCTAGCTCGCATATGATTTTTTGGAGAAAAGTTAAAGACCGTTGAGGCCGACTCACAAATGAGATCAAATGCAAAGTAACAGAAAGAATTAGAGCAGTTTGAAGTTGTTTTTGCAAACGAGCACCGTGCAAATTTTGCCATTTGTCCTAGCGTGCAGCCAAATGTTTTGAAAAAAACCTTTTTATACATGTACTTAGTGATTTAAAACAAGAGCACACTGCCTTACCATATAATAAATAACGTTATGTTTACCCGGGCAGTCCCCGGGCAGTCTCGGGCAGTCCCGGGCAGTAATTAGTAGGACCGAACAATTCAAATGCGGTATATATTTTGTGCAGTATTTACGAAAGATAAGCTCTCATATATCGTTAATCCATGCAAAAACATGCAGACTAGAATTTATCAACAACAAACAACATATAAACCATTAAACTTACTGTTCTGTATTCCATATTGTCAGCTTGTTGTTGAGTAAAGAGCAATCGGGCATTGAGCAATTCATATTCGTCGGTTGATCATACTTCATGCATGATTCGGCGTGTTTATCACGCTATGCGGTTCAAAAGGAAAATTATTCAAACTTGTACAAGTCAAAAGTTTCTATATTTCTCATAAAAAGCAGGCACCACCACACAAACAAGTGAACTATTTCGCTCATTTCAATCGCCATGTTTGATAAAATATTGTTGTAAAATGCCAATACTTCATGTTATAACATGTGTAATGTATCAAAACATAAACAAACGCCGGGCACATGCGCAGAAGGGACTTATCCCCCCCTTTAATTTAGGACATACAGTATTGATCAACATAAATTATGCTGGTTTGCAAACTTATTTCCAAACGTTCAGATTTTACGGGCATTAAGCAGAAAAAAGTATCAAAAACATAGAATTTTATTTCTTGTTAATCCAGATTATTTTTAAGAATTTTTATGAAAATATCCATTTTTTGTTGTTATATATGTTCATTAAGACTAAAACTAATATATATTCACAAAAATAAAGTATATAGCATGTTTCCTCCTAATTATATAAAAACTGGCATTCTGTGGTATTGTGGTATTCTGTGGTACATACACCTGTACCTGAAGAATTATAATTAGACCTTCGTTCGTTCGGATGTCTCTGTCATTGAATCACACATTGAGAAACATTAATTCTTACCTCCACAGTCAGACACATTCTTCGTAACAGTGGTAGGCTTTATCTAAAACAATAAAAATTAATGCTCTTTAAACTGAATTTCTGAAAAACATATGGTGATATACTCATGAATATAATGGGTGTTTTGGTCTTACTCTTACCTTTAGGATTTGAGGCCGGAGTTTCTGTGTCTGTCAGCCATTGATTATCTTTTGAAGGTTAAACAAAAAAAGGGTCACATATACCGAAAAATATAGCAATAGCTAACGATTAATTATAGATGGCTGAAATCCTTATATTGAAATGAAAGCATAAATATCACAACGTACAGTATCATTTACATTCATACATACCATTAAATTTATCCATGTTATCCATGTTAATTGTTTGAATACTATAAGAAACAAGGGAAACTATTAGAATACAATCACTAAACAATTACCAACCTATTAAAAACAATATTAGAGTGTTAAATTGGCAATAACTTATAGTCGCTTTTCCTCTTGCAATCGGTACGAAAGGGATTGCATTTTCTTTATACTGCTAAGTCTGTCATAAGTCATTGGTTCGATTACCAAAGATGTCAAATTGCGTGCACGACTCAATGCCACATATGTTATTCCTAACGTGCATTCTTTTTTACCGATATCAACCCATGCTTTCTCCAATGTCATACCTTGACTCTTATGAATGGTCAATGCCCAAGCAAGTGTTAATGGTAATTGCTGTCTTTCAAGAGTTTTGTTATCTATGTTTACGGATGCAGTTACTGGAGGAATGGGAACACAAAAAGGAATGCTACAAAAGTTGGACCACGGTATTCATCAAACTTCACCAAAACAGCAATAGGTAAGTCTGGTGGATGTTGATCTTTTGCATAAATAATATCAACAATAGTTCCTGATGCCCCATTGTAGAGGCCTACTGAAGCCCATAAATTCATTGTTAACATAACTTTAGCACCTTTACAAATTAAAATAGTAGGTTGCAAACCAAACATTTCCTGAGCACTCACACTTTTCGCATTGCTACCAGAGTGTCTAGCACAAATTTCTGGAATAGGAGTTTCTAACTGCATTAAGTGATCATAATTAAATTTTGCAACTTCATCATTGCTGTAATATAGTCTAGTAGCATCAATAAAGTCATTTAGGTTAGATAAAACTGTTGGCTGTCTAGCAAGGAGCAGTTTCCAGTCATTACAACTTAATTTTCCAATTCGCAGTCGTGACAAGATGCCTTTAAATAATGTTTGATCATGTTGACTACCCCTTATCCTTTGATTAACATCTAGTATAACTACATTGTTAAACATTTTATATGCTAGAGAACCTTGTTCTGCAATCGGATTAGATGGTTTACTATGATACAACGGCTTGTCACCAACGGGAGGAAGTTGGGCGGGGTCTCCAATTAAAATTATGGATTTCCCACCAAACAACTTATCTTTTAATCCAGTAGCCTGCCTACAACGTTTATCAATCCATCCCATTGTGGTTTGACCAAGCAAAGAGTATTCATCAATTACAATATAGTCAACTGACAACAAATTCTTTTGCAAATTATCTAGGCTTTGGCCAGACAAATCTTTTTGGGACATTTTACCAACTGGAAGTTTCAAAAATGAGTGAATGGTTATGCCATTTATGTTAAATGATGCCTTGCCAGTTGTAGCAGTCACAATACACTTCTCCTTTAAATAGTTTCTTACAGCATTAATAAGGAAACTTTTTCCTGTCCCCCCTTCACCAATAATGACAAGCCAGAGTGGTTCTTTAGGTGCGACATTGTTATAATGATTTACAATAATCTTATATGCCTGCTGTTGCATTTCAGTAAATGTACTCGTATCAACTTTGTTGTCGCTTGAAGGAACAGTATAGTCACTCTTTTTCACTTTGACCCAGTTTGGCATTTCATCAATCTACTGGGTTGTGTACTTTGCAGAATCTAAATGCCAATCACATGGTGTATTATTGTTGGCATGGAGATTTTCATTAAGCTTATGATAATTAGAAAGAATCATCCATTCTTCTTGATCAGGGCTTTTATTTTTTTCAGATAATTCATTGCTTTGTTGCACAACATTATCTAACACATTCTGTAATTGCTTTTCCCAATCTGGCACATGCTGGTTTGCAAATGGAGAATTTAAAAAGTTGAGCCAAGAATTTACAAAAGTAGTGTCTGAATGTTCTTGGTTATCCCATGCATCATTTTGCGAGCATTTCCAAGGTTTATACTTCAAAAGCTGGTATTTACAATATAGTGGATAATTGATCCCTTTTGGATTTGAAGAGTAACAAGGGAAGAAACGTGGAATCACATTTGGTGACCGTTTTATAAGCTTATTTTTTACAGTCTTGTACATTGTGACAAATTCAACAAAACTCATTTTCATTACATGTGGAAATTCATCCTGAAAAATTGAACGTTTTGCATATTTATCCAATAAAGAATCATTTGTACACAGACTATCCGTTTGTTTCAGATTTGTCTTAACAAAACGAGATCCATTTAAGTTCACTGGTAAAACTTCAAATGATGAACTGTATAATTTTAATGAAAGTAGTAAGTGCATCGTCTCCTGTGCACTAAAATCTCTTTCTCCTAGTGTCTTTATCATAATTTTTTTCATTGCCTTCAAGGGATCTCTACATGAATTTAGATTATGCACTACTGAGTTGAATGTGTTTTTCAACATGTTGGACCTGGGTTCACCTTTTGCAGCATATTTACACAAATATTCTATGCATGCATGATAATCAAGTATTACTTGGATATCACAATTTGCTCTCCATCCCTCAAGTTGAATTTTCTGATGGTTATTTAATCTAGGATCATTTCTTCTAGTAACTATATTTGCTTTGTACTGTACACTTTTATCCTTTGTATGCATTTGTTGAAATTCAAGTCTAGTTTCACTACAACAATCAAATGGGTATTTGAATCTACAATAGAGCCCCTCTTTGTTTGGCTCATGTCTTAGACAATATTTTGTGCTACAATGGGTATGGCGTTGAACAGTGTTTACTAGATCTGAATAATCATTATTCCGTTCAGAGTCTGGAATATTTTTGTGTTTTTTTTGCACAAGGATGAACCAGTGGTTTTGTCCAAAGTTCAGACTCAGGTGGAAATGGATTCCACGTATTGATTAGTGTGTCTACATAATTGCAAATAACCTTTGCAGCTTTTTGTCCTTCATCAATTTCTACTGAAACAGGAATGTTACATGTATCTGGACATTTTTTCTGTTTCTCAGCTATGAAACCTTTAAGAGCTCTTTCTGTGAGTCTACAAAGACCTGGATTAGATTTTAATTTTGCAGTGCCGTGGCAATGGATACTACCTCGAGCTTGAAATTCATATCGGTACCAATGCCACTCAGCATTCATTGTATCATATAGCCAGTGCTTTAGAAATGATTCAAACCGTTTGGTAAAAAACCAATCAACTAGGTGAGGATTGTCAATAACATTTTTTCGCCTATCTTCCACACTCAAGCTATCGACATTTGAAGAAAAAAGGGAATGTAACTCAGGCCAATGAAGATCCGCAGAAGAAAATGTAAAAAAAATTGTTGGGGCACCTTTTGCTAAAATGATTGCTTTTAAATCTTCTCTTATTTTATACCAATATGCTGAGCTCCCAGTGATATTTGCTACATATCTAGAAAGTTTAGACATGAAAGAAGATGATTTGTCACTACAAGCCATTTCACGTAACTCATCTATTGTAAGATGCGATTCATCAGGATTTTGTTTTAAAAATATGGCATTTTGTTGAAGAGCTCGTTTTCTTTGTATCATGTTAAGAGCCCAATACGAGAACCTGGGGTGACCAGCAAACCTATATATCCATTTATCATTGATTTTCTCAGAATATTTAATTAAATGCTGAATGCGATTTGCAAAAGGAATGTCTCTTTGCAAACACGGATTTGTTGGATCACCATTACCATCAGGAAAAAGTGTTGGAAAAGCAAGAGTTGCAAGAAATGGTGTTGTATACTCATTTAATGGTTGGTCTTCAATTGTTGGCCAGTCTATTTTGGTGACATTGAGACTACTTTTTATAGCATCACTTTCTAGATGGTCATTTTTAGGTAGTGGTAGAAAGCTATTTGTATCTGTTTCACCATTATAAACTTCATCTCCACTTGCTATTGTGTCAGTATCATTACTATCAACACCATCCGGGTCACCTAATGTTTCTATTCTCTGGATATTGCAAGGAATGCCATTATCAGGTAAAGCTTCTAATGTATTTGAATCAATACAAACACTACTATATTGTGGATTGTGTCTTATTAACCAATATAAGGCCTGCTCAACTTTTTTTCTTCTTACTATAACATCTTTCATTGTGTTATCTTTTCCTTTCATTGTGACAATAATAATTGGAATATTACTTGGACATCGTGGAAGTGATTGGGCTAGCTCAGACACTTTTTGGGGCAAATTTATGCAATGACCAGAATATCCTCTTTGACCACCAGGCTTTACATAAACCCTCATAATGGGAAGTGCCCTAGCAATAAGCATTTCTTCAATTTGAGTTAAACCCTTTAGTTCAGTTGGCAAAACAGTAGGTATCATACTATTCTCAGAAGAGAACTTTTTTGGAATTTGTTTATCAACACTACACCTACGACGAATGTAAGTATTGGTATTACAAGATCTTGGTTTGGTTGTCAAAGGCCATGCCTCATGACATACACAACATTGAATTACAAAGTATTGCATTGACTTATGGAACTTATCAACATTTGACTTGAAATTCTCTGAAAAATCTGTTGTTATCTCAGAACATTTGGGTTGTTCAAAGCTTTTACTCTTTTCTTTAATACCACCATTCAATTGATCTGGCTTTGAATTATTAGACAAATCATCTTCAGTTATTGTATAAAAATCAGAAGAATGCTTTCTTTTTACAGATTGACCTTTTAAATATTGTTCTGTTGTTATCTCAGAACATTTGGGTTGTTTAGAGCTTTTACTCTTTTCTTTAATTCCACCATTCAATTGATCTGGCTTTGAATTATTAGACAAATCATCTTCAGTTATTGTATAAAAATCAGAAGAATGCTTTCTTTTTACAGATTGACCTTTTAAATATTGTTCTTTTTTAATATTTGTGTGCATACCGGTACAAGATGACCCACTGGTACCTAAACTTACATCAAGAACAACATCATAATGTACAGCCCCAGTATGTTGAATGTAAATGGAACATGGATTTTGTGGAGGCAAATTATTAAGCATTGATTGAGAGAACTTATTCCATGTAAAATGAGTACCAACATTAGTATATACATAAATGTCTGTGCTTAGCAAGGAGGAAGCAGCAAATATTTCAATGTCTGTACCCCACACTCTTTCTCGATGCATTCCACTAGATTGAAAATAGTTATTTAGAGACATGCCCATATGTGGCAGCAACAGATTTTCAATGGACCTCATGTGATCTAATAGCTTGTGTCTTATTACATGATGGTAAACCTGTCGCCCTGTAATGACATACGAAAGTGCTCGAAATAGACAGTTTCCATCACCCATTATTCTGTGTAATATAGTCGGTTCATTTAGGAGCTTTGGAATTATTGGTCTAAATGGCGCAATCAGTGGTAAATCAACTAAAGAACACATGAGCCTTTGCGCATTTTCATCAATCGGCACAAAAGCATACGGACAAGCCATACAGTATTTACTTTATTCTATACAGTGTATATCACAACTAACCTTGTTTTACAGAAAACACTTTACTCAATTGAACACTAAAAACAACAAAAAACCTTTTTTTAAACGAGGCATGTGAAATGCCAATTCAAGTATTAAAACACGAGGCGTAAAAAGGACGCCGAAACACGAGGCGTAACAGGACGCCGAAAAACACGAGGCGTAACAGCCACAGGACGCTTTCGACTCAGAAGCAATATAAAAATGTTGAATATAAAATATATGACCTCAAAATACAGAAATTCGAAAGGCACTGCTACAAAAATGTTTATAATTTTGAAAAGAAAAAACACCAATAAGTTAAAGGCCGACGCAATGTCGCTTCAAGCAAGGCTAGCAAGCAATCGAACACGAGGCGTGTTAACAAGGAAACAAAATATAACAGACTTCATATAAAGCAATCGAACACGAGGCGTGCTAACTGAAGGAAACAAAATATAAGAGACTTTATATAATGATATAAAAACCTGACAAATAAATAACAGAAGCAATTTAAAAATGCAATTAAACGAGGGTAAACTAGAGAAACAAAATATAAGAGACTTTATATAAAGCAATCGAACACGAGGCGTGCTAACAAGGAAACAAAATATAAGAGACTTTATATTTATGATATAAAAACCTGACAAATAAATAACAGAAGCAATTTAAAAATGCAATTAAACGAGGGTAAACTAGAGACAAATCTCAAATAAGTTAAACCAACTAAACCCGTACCTTTAGAGTGGTTTTGCTCTGTGCTATAAACAGTGGTCAGACAACACCGCGTGATATGGAAATCCAACAGAAACCGCGTGATATGGAAAATATCTGAAATATATAAAGAACAGCAATTAATCGACGGTAAATACCAAAGAAACAATCAAATAAATACGATGGTAACTATAAATAAACAACAGAATAAAAAATTACCTTTAAACCTTTCAAAACCAAAGAATTTTCGGAGAAGAAATTTAGCAAACCTCACACGTGTAAGAACGTCGCAAAAAGAACAAAGATCGGAAGCCGGACTGCCGGAGGCCTTTCAATACTTGTGCTTCCACGTGAATATTAAAACGTCCAAATTCGAATTAAGGATAAAATTGGATAAAAGAAAGAAACGTATCTCATTATTAAAATATTTATCAACATATGTTTTCATAAAGCAAAGCAGAACTATCTTGCTCCGAAATTGTGCTGAACAGTGAACTGAATCAATGTAAGTCTAGTATGTCTTTGCATGTCTTAATGTCTAGAAACGCAGGGTTCCACGGCGTGGAAACACCACGGAAAAATAGCTTACTGCGCATTTCCGATCGCGCATGACCAGAATGCACTGCGCTAGAATGTTTTGAGATAAAAATCCCCATCTACACAAATTAGATTTGCTGCGTCGCTCGCTCGCTTCAGGCTCGCTCGCTTCCGCAGCAATTAAACCATACGTCCGCCAGTGTCGTTACCGCTAGTCCGATGTCCGTGTCGCCTTGTATCCGCACCCTGCTGAGAGTTAATTTATAGCCACGCCCAAAATTATAAAAATAGCAATACTCACACAGTTCAATGATTGGCATATATTTATATACAAGTGTTCTTATCCTCGTGGTCTCAATTGTTCTTATCCTCGTGATTTCTAAAAAAGTCTGTATTTTCTATATTGCAAAGAAATATGCTGTAGTATAAAAGATTTATATATTTAAAGTGACGTCCAGTGGCGGAAAATGCCCAAAAAGTTCGGTAAGTTACTTTTCCAGATTCCAGTAATAAAACTGTAGCATTCAGGCATATGCGTTCTAATTTATTTAATATTATTAATACAATTGTGTTTACTGTATTCTCCGTGGCTTACGAAAGCATCTCGAAATATTATACTGCAAAGAAATATCTCGACTAAATTGAGAGCGACGTTTAAATTAAAGCAATGCCCTCCAAATTTGGACACTCTAAAATTATTTTCAAGTGATGTCAATGGCGGCCAATTTTTATATCCGAGGTTTAATATTTGGAGGCCATCGCTGCAGTACCTATGTGTAGCCAGAAATGAGTACTTTTTATCTGAATTATTCAACTTATTAATAATTCATGTTACAAAATTCATTACTGTATAAATGAATACAATTAATATTTACATGAACATGAGTGATGATTCTCGATTAGTTTTGTTCACTATCACAGATAGGGATGGAATTGGTGCTAATATTTATAGTCGAATTATAACTGGAACTCCTGAACATATTAAAGTGTGACAATCTGCTGGAAAGCATGACTATCGATCAAGCTTGAAGCAGCTGATTGCAAATGTCTTTTTGCTTAATTAAAGCTGCTGATTATTCTTTATATATGCAATAATGAGTTATACAAAAACTTTAGGTACATTTTAATTCCCTATGAAAGGGGAATTCCAGTCCCAAAACAAGTTGGATTTCAATAAATCCTTTTATTGTTCCAATAACATATTAATATTGCTATACAGATTACATATTATAGCCCAGAAATATCCTCAGGATGTTGATTGCTACTAGTGCATTTTTAAGGATTCTTCAGTGCTGGGGCAAAACTGCCAAAGGGCCCATTTTTCTTGCCCCCCCAAGATAGTATATATGTGATCGCCGAAGATGTGAGCCTGGCACGAGTTAGCCAGGGGGTCTGGGGGCATCCCAAGAAATTTTAAAATTTGGGTCTCTGAAATAGCATTTCCTGCATTCTGAGAACAATTAAAATTTAAAATAAATCTCAGCTTCTCAAAACAAAGCTTTATTATGGTGAAATTTGTAATAAATTACATGCTAAACATTCAAACACAACACATCATGGGGCAGAGGAAGTGGCCCAGTTGTCAGTGGGGCAAATGTCCATGGTATTAAAACTGCCTTGATTGCTACAGTTTTGAAAATAGGTACACTTGGTGTACATTCATGGGCCGGCCGCCAGGGGCGGCGGAACAGGGGGGGTTAGGGGGGCTAAAGCCCCCCCCAGAATAAAAAGTGGGGGGGGAGCCCCCCCAGAAAATTTGAATTTTTTGAAAAAATTTTGATAATTAGGGAAAAATTTAGGTTATTTTTTGAAAATTTAGGTATAAGGGGAAAAATTTGCAATATTTTGTTTAAAAAAAGTGTATTTCCGAAAAAATTTTTTGATATAAGTCCGAAAAAATTTTTTTCGCGACGGGGGAGGGGGGGGGGGAGGTTGCCGAAAAAATTTAGCCCCCCCCTCTGTTCCGCTGCCGCTGCCGGCCGCAAAAGAATTACATGGTTGCTATGAAAAAAATTTCATCCGTTACAATTATTGAGTAAACATTTATATTTCGAAGTGACTATATATATACAGCTGGCAGCCAGCTATTTAGTAAACTGCTGCATGCTACTGTATATAGTGACTTTTGTTAAACCAAACCCAAACCTTTCTCTTATAACCCTAACTGCTAACCTTTTCAGAGTAATAGAAAGGGCGACAAAAAGTTTCACCGCTAACCTTTTCAGAGATAAAAAGGGCGAGAAAAAGTTTAAAAGTATATGCTAACGGCAAGCTTGGTAAAAGGTAGCGTAGACAAAAGTTTTTATATTTAACTATGGTAACTATATAGCCGGCAGTTTACTAAATAGCTGGCTGCAAAGTCACTTTGTTTATATTTGATGATATGAGAAAGAATGTTCAGATTGCAGTGTCTTCTCTACTGTCAGAAAGCCACCATCTTTTTATAATAAAATTTACAGACAGAATAAGAGTTATATATTAGTGGCATAACATATCAGGAGGCCCCCGGTTCAAAATTTTCGAAGGCCCCCTAATATACCGAGTCAACTGCCATATATGTGAGTTTTCTAGAGGATCCAAGGTGTGCTCAACTGGAAAATTTTTAAATCTAAAGTCTCTGAAATGCCATTTCCCGGACTTTGGGGAGAGACTTTACAGAATTCTGATGGTCAGAGGCCCTGGCCAATGTTTTTGCTCTACAGTCTGAACCTGGGGGACCCATTGGGGTTGGGGGCCCCTGGGTTCTCCCGGTCCGAGCCCATAGTTAGTTACGCCACTGCTATATATGAAATAGACTTGCTCCAAGTCTCTCTTTCATTGTCATATAGTATCGATCCACTATAGTGTACATTACATGACGTAGTACGGAGGGGCGGAGCGAGAAAGAGAGACTTGTCAACTTTGGAAAATCTCGGTTCAAATGCAAGACTTGGTTTAATTGTTTTCTGTCAGTGTTTATATGTATTGATCTAGCACAGTGTAAATAACATGAGTTCCATTACAGAAAATAATAGAGAAAGAAATTGAAGGAAAACAATTAAAGCAAGTCTTGCATTTTCGGTTCAGTTTTGAACTGAGATTTTCCGATGTTGACAAGTCTCTCTTTCTCGCTCCGCCTCTCCGTGCTACGTCATGTAATGTACACTATAGTGGATCGATATGACAATAAAAGAGAGACTTGGAGCAAATTTATATATGAAATGGATACAAAACTGTTGAGGTAAATACAGTACCCGCATTTAATTTTAAGATAATTATGTACAGTAGGATAAATGAAAAAATCAGTGTAAATGTTG